ACCATGATTAACTCTATTTTCATCCTGGAAAGGGGCTCACTTCTTTCCAATCAAGAAGTCTGACCCTGCTTTGCACCCTGATTCATACAAACCCCTTATAATTCTTTGTATTCCCTGCTCACAGTATTACATGAGAAAAATGCATTGCAGTCATTTTCTCCTTTTGTGGAAATGATACATGACTATATTTAGCATGCTTACAAAACTTAATACACACTGATTATTATCCCAATGTTTGGGCATTCAAAATATATACAGCTGTGCACAGTGGTGCAGGACTATTCCCAGCAACTTGGGAGACTGAGACAGAATGATCACAAATTTGAGGCCAGCCTCAGCAATTTAGTTAGACCCTTTTCCAACATAAGAAACACAAAAGAGTTGGCTATGTGGCTCAGTGCTAAAACAACCCTGATTCAACCTCAAAGAATTTTGTTTTCATTTACAGATAAAAATAAACACAAAAATAAATAGTCAGTCCTTCTTATCTGAGGGTCCTCCAACCCCAAACTCAACCCTCTGTGTATCAAAAATACTTGTCCTGGCTATAAACGTAGCGCAGTGGTAAAATGTGTGTTTCTCATACAAGAAGACTCAGATTTTAATTCCAGTTCCCTGAAATCACATCAAAAATCTATAGTAATCATCACTGCGCCAAGGGCAGGAATGGGATTTAGGCTAAAAAAGAAATTACGTTTTTACTGAACATGTATAAATACTTTTTATTTTTGACATTTTCCCCCAAACATTATAAATTATAACTTTATTTATAGTTAATATAAATAACTATTTATATTAATTATAAATAACTATTTATATTAACTATAAATAACTATGGTATTTATTTATATGTGTGTATTGTACTGGGTATTGAATCCAGGTCCTTGGTCATACTATGAATTTTAAAGGGTTCTCTACTTTCTGCACACAGTAAAAGATTTTTCTGGGGCCTGGCACCATTGTGCACACGTGTAATCCCAGGGACATGGAGACTAAGGCAGGGTGATCATAAGTTCCAGGCTAGCCCGGGGAAGTGACTGAGTCTCAAAATAATAAAGACTGGGGATTTAGCTCAGTCATAGAAAAAAGATTTCTACAAAGATATTTGGTCTTCAAATTTCTGCTCAAAATAGGTTTATTCTCTCCTTTTGCTTGCCAGCAGTACTTTGAAAAAGAAGGGTGACATTGAAAGACTCATGTCCCAATTTCAAAATGCATCCCAAAGCTATCAAAACAGTGTTGTTCCTGTCATAAGTCTTGACATAATATGTCAATGGAACAGAATCAAGAGTTGATCATAAAGCTTCACATTTATGGTCACTTCATTTTTCAGTAAATATGCCAAGACAAGAATCATTAGGAAAGAATAATCTTCAATAAATATAGCTGGGGTAGTTAGAGGTCCACCATATAATTTTTTATTAGATGATATAATATGAAAAATACTAGTGGGGGCTGGGGATGTAGCTCAGCTATAGCTTGCTCCACATGCACAGAGCCCTGGGTTAAATCCCCAGCAACACACACACACACACACAAGATACAAATGGGATAAGTGGCTAGACATGGTGGTTCAAGCCTGTGATCCCAGCAGCTCAGGAGGTTCAGATAGGAGGATCAAAAGTTCAAAGCCAGCCTCAGCAACTTTATGAGGCACTAAACAACTCAGCAATACCCTATCTCTAAATGAAACATAAAATGAGGGCTGTTGATGTAGCTCAGTGATTCGGCACCTCTTGATTCAATCTCTGTTACCAAAATAAAGAAAAAAAGACTAGAAGTGATTAAGAAAAAATTAAAGATAAATTGGGCTAAAAAGAATAAATAAAATAATTGAACTTCATCAACACTGAAATTTTTGTGCTATGAAGGACTCTGAAATAGGGAAAAGACAGCTAACAAAATGGGAGAAAATAACTTTAACTCATACATTTTTTTAATGCCCATTGGAGTATACATGAACAAACCCAGAACTTAATGCATGATCGTAAACATGTGCTCTACTACTGAGCTACACTGCTAGTCTTGTTTTACTTACACATTTTTATTATGAGAAAGCACTAAGTTACACTGGCTGGCCTGGAATTGGTGATGCTCCTGCCTCAACCTCTCAAATTGCTGGAATTACAGAAATGGGCTGACAGTATCTCACTTAGTTGCTTGATGCCTGGCTATTTTGCTGAGGCTGGCTTTGAACTTGTGATTGTCCTACCTCTGCCTCCCGAGTTGCTGGGAGTACCCATGTGAGCCTGCCATGGCAGGTGACAAAAATTTTTAATGAGAGATTCTGTGTCATTAGTAGCGCAAAATGAAGGATTTGAAATTTTCATAAAATATAACCACATTGGGTTTTTGTGGTTTTTAAATATTCACTCAACAAATATTTGATGTGAGCCTCTGATGAAATGAATTCTGTGCTCAGTAACCATGTTTCCAGTGGTAGAGCAAACAAACATAAAATAGTAGTTAAGATTTATTAGATCCTAATATGCTACTTTAGAAAGGTTAAGAGATGCGCCAAAATGACCTGAACTAATAAATGAAAAAGAAAAAGATGATTAAAGTAAACCTGTTATTTCACTATAACTTACCTACAGAAGACAGCATAAATCCTAAGCTCACAAAATTTTTAAAAAGTGAACACACTTGTGTTGTCAGTGTGCAATATAATTGTACCTCAGAAACATTCTTCTCCCCTCTTAATCCCTAGCTACCTACCAAAAATGTCACTCTCCTTCTCTTCTGACATTTTGTATTATAAAAAGAAGTCATTTTTTGCCTCTCAGCACTGTAATTATGAGATTAATTCATATTGTGTATAATTATAAATCATTCTCATTGCTAAGTAGTATTCTTTTATTATGAATAGTTAAAATTTATTGGGCGCTTCTGCTGGGAATGACGTTTCAGTTATTTCCAGTTTGGGATAATTATGAATAATGCCTCTGACTTTGGGAAACAAGGAAGTGCATTTGTGTCTAGTGGAGTTCCTGGATTGTGAATAGATGACATGTTTAGCTGATTAGATTTGTTGATACTAATAGTTTTCCAAAATTAATTCTCATTTCTTACATTTTCATGCACAGTATACAAGAGTGTTTCTGAACTTTTTTAGTATTTAATATTTTGTTTCTTGTAAGGGTTCTATTTAGTTATGTAGTTTCTCTTCTTTAAACCCTCCCACCGATTATTGTACCTGTAATTGAATCCAGAGGCATTTAACCTCTGAGCCACATCACAAACCCTTTTTTCGATTTGTGTTTGACAGGGTCTCATTGAGTTGCTTAGGGCCTAAGTTGCTGAGTCTGAGACTGGATTTATAGTTATGATTCTCCTACTTTGGCCTGTGGAGCTGCTTGAATTCAGTGATAGGCCACCTCGCCCACTCTGCCTCCTGCCTCGCCTTTTTTTTTTCTTTTTTAATAATTTGTTATGAGAGCAAAATGCAATTTAATTTACATCCTACTTTTTTTTTTCTTCCTGTCTTTCTTCCTGTGTTGAGGATCAAATTGTCATCGGGCATACTAGACAAGCGCTCCTATCACTTAACTACATTCTCAGTTCCATCTTAACCATGTTTAAGTGTAGGGATCAGTAGAGTTTAGTATATTCAGTGATGTGAAACAGATCTCCAGAACTTTTTCATCTTGTGAATTTCAATCTATTCCTATTAAATAACAACTACTGTCTTTTCCCCCTAGCTTCTGGTTCTTTCTAATTATATAAATGTGACTGTTTTAGATACCTGATATAAATAGATTCATGCAGTATTTGTCATTTTTGTGACTGGTTATTTTCTTTATTATAATGGCTTTATTTCTTTCAATATTTTTATATATTTCAGAGAACTTAGATTTAATACCTCAACCCCTTATTGAACCACGATCCATATTTACTGACTCAGCTCCTAGACATTATGCTTAATTTTCTATAGTTCACTGAAGAAAAACATCTGTGAAAGACCCATATATCATCAATATCATCACAAGGTATATCTTCTTTGCTAGGCTGGGGGTTGGTGTAGCTCAGTGTTAGAGCACTTACCAAGCATGTGTGAAGCCCTGGATTCAGTTCCCAGCCTTGCAAAAAAGAATCCTCTTTCCTAGGTTTAGTCATTGCACTTGGGTATCTGAGGTAGGAGAAGCATTTGAAAGTAGTCTGGGCAACTGATCAAGACTCCATCTCGCTGGTCACAACAGTGCACTTCTGTGATTCCAGAGTCACAACCCTAAGTTACGTAGGGCCTTGCTAATTAATTATTATATTTTGCATTTTGCAAGTCAGCTGCACCATTTTAGTCTTATGATTAAAATAGGTGTGATACAGTCTTGTAATAGCATAACGAAATCATAGAAATTGCATGGTCATTGGTTTACATGGTATCCTATATAGTAACATGAGACACAAAAGTAATCTATACCTTTGTCACAGTTCAGTGTCAAGTTTGTTGATGGAACCCAGGGGCTTTTAAGCACTCAGCCACATCCCCAGCCCTTTTTATATTTTTATTCTGAGACTTTGTCTTGATAAGTTGCTGAGGATGGTTTTGAATTCCCAATACTCCTGCCTCACCTCATAAGCCCCTGGGATCACAGGTGTGCAGTACTCCATCCTGCTCTACATTTATTTTTAATATTGGGATTCCTGGTTTCTTTCCATTTGTGGAAAAGCAGAGCAGGTATTTAAATTTTCCTGAGTCCTCGGTTTCCCCTTTTGGAACCCAAACAAATAATCTTGTTTTTTAAATTTTTTTTAGTTGTCAATGTAACTTTAATTTTATTTATATGCGGTGCTGAGACTTGAACCCAGTGCCTCACACATGCTAGGTAAGCGCTCTACCACTGAGCTACAACCCCATCACAAAACAAAGAATGTTGCACTATTTTTTTAAAGAAAGAAATAAGCTAATATATAACTATCCAGAACTTAAAGAGAAATGTCCATTGCATTTAAATGTAGGATACTAGTTTTTCATAGATGAATGCATTCTGCTTTTGCAGGTTATAAGAAGAAGCAGTGAGGAAGAAAAAGTTCTTTGTTTGGTCCGTGTGCGTACAGGCCACCACTGTGAAACTGCTGTGATGGTGGTGTTCATCATGATATGGGACGCCTTATGTCCTCCAATTGCCGATAGTTTGTATCAGGAGATTGTTGAGAGTCTACGGTCATACAATGGTCATCCGACAGACCGAAGATGTACCTTCAATGAAAAGTAATCAAATCTGTTTTGTTCTGATTTGACAGTCAGATCCCTATTATATAATGGTAAATTGTTAATTAACTAACAACTAAGTATACTGTATGGGAAAATAATATTTTAGGTATTCTGGTAGAATAAACAAATATTTTGTTAAACAGAAATTAGTGTCATTGATAGGGCCATTTTAGAATATTCTCCAAATAAATGCAGTGGGGAACAATGCTATTGATTGAACCTATTTCATATTAACCAAGCATTCTAACAGTGTGCTCTATCCCCAGCCCCTCATATTTTTTACCACTTCCTTCTTTTTTGAACCCAGATATGTTTTAATTTTGAGACAGATCTTGCTAAATTGCTTAGGGTCTTGCTAAATTTCTGGGGCTAACCTTAAGATTGTGATCTCCTGCCTCAACCTTCCAGATTGCCAGGTATTCAAACATGCACAGGAAAGTAGGTATAGCACAAAGAAAGGTACTTCAAAAGAATTTGTATCATTTTGTATTTGTTCTATTCAAAATAAGAGAATATTTGCTTTTACTCCTCTCCAGCCATTGATTATGTTGTCAAATTTGAATTTTTGTCTATTAATGTCATCAGCATAATTTTAATTGCATCTTATTATGAACCAGTATTTTTTCAAATGGTCAGGAGCCACTTACCATTGGATTTTTGTTTTGAGAAGAGTTTTGACCTTGACATAGCTGTTGCTACCTTTTGCAGGCAAGCATCCCTCCTACCACAACTTCCTGAGTGCTGGAATTATATGTGGGCACCACTGAACCCAGCCCCTTTTTTATATTGTAGTAAATCCTTTGGTAGCTCTTGCAGGACATTTTTTCTATGGGATTGTTCTTAACTTTTTTTCTCCCCTGTTTTTTTTTTTATATATCAATGCTACTAAAAGTTTGCCTGGTTTATAATTTGCAAATTATTTTCCCAGATCATTTTTCTTTATGCTTTTTGTTGTTGTTGTTGTAGGTGGACACAATACTTTATTTCATTTTTCATGGTGCTGGAGGTACAAACCCAGTGCCTCACATGTACTAGGCGATCACTCTACTACTGAGCCACAACCCCAGTCCAGTCCCTCTTTATGCTTTTTCTGTGCCGTTTTTGTTTCCTTGCTGTTTTATTATGTAGTGCTGGGAATCAAACCCCAGGTATCTGCATCCCCAGCCCTATGTTTTATTTTAATATTTGATATCAAATATCAAATATTTTAATATTTGATATTTGATAGGACTCACTCACTCTTACTCTGTAAGATTTTCTTTTCTTTTTTAGTGTAATATATGTGATTGTGTGTGTTTATTAATGTTGAGCTGAGTGTCGAACCCAGTCCCTCACACTTGCTGGGCAAATTCTCTTACTACTGAGCCAGAAGCCCATCTGTAAGATTTTCTTTTTTCTTTTTGCTTCCAAATATAAAATTTTATTTTATGAAATAAAACTTTGTATACTTTTAATAATCTAATGATATAACTGGCATCTTCATAATATTGAGTCTTATTCAATAGCTTGAATTTTCTATTCATTCAATATAGTTTCCCTTAAGAATGTTTTAAACTTTTCCACATATAAGTTTCCTTCTTAAAAGAAATGTCATTATACAAAATGTAAATGAAATTTTACATCATTTTCTTCCCAATCCTTACATAAGATTAAGGTTAATTATTTTATTATGTTGATATATAACAGTAACACTTCTAGTATTAAATTATTTCATGAAAATTGCCTTTTAGAAAATATTATATACTCTCATTCAAATACCCTTTTCTTGAAAAGATGCATTATAGTCACTTTCCTCTACCTAAAATTCAATGTGTTTTATTATTTTGTTGTTTAGAGTTCAAAGAGCTTTTATTTCAGTTTTTATTGTTTAGGGCATTGAAATCATTAAAGGTAAAAGTTTAATTTTGTTGACTCCTGGTGAAATTTTGATTGTTCAGAGAGTTTCCTTCAGATTCACATCAGTTTTGAAAGTATTGGTAGTTATATTATACGCCACATTTAATATTATAAGCTATCTGAAGTCAGTTTATTCCATTTTTGGAGAGGTTAACTTACAGCTCTATTAAGCCTCACAATTTGTCACATTTCTTATGTCTTTGGTTTGAAATAATCATTGAGAGTATGTTAATTTATATTTTTCTCTCTTCCCTATGTATTTTTGCTGTGATATACATAAATTATTTGTTTGGCACCTTTAATTTCCTTCTACAATTTCAAATTTAATTGAACCCTTGGATCTAAATTTGCAACTCATTTTTTTCTTTGTCAGTTATTGTACTATTAATGTATCTCCAAACCCTCCAAAATACATCTTCTACCTCTATAGGAAGTTGCCATGTTTCTGTGTCCTGTTTTCTTTTCCCCCTCAAAGTTTTTTATTTTTTAATTTTTTTTTGGATGTTCTTGTTGTTAATGGGAATTGAACTTAGGGACACTCAAGCACTGAGCCACATTCCCAGCCCTTGTTCATATTATTTTATGTTGAGTCAAGGTCTAGCTGAATTGCTGAGGCTGGCTTTGGACTTGGGATTCCCCCGACTCAGCCTCCCAAGCTGCTGTGATTACAGGTGTGAGCCACCACACCTGGCTTCAAAGTTTGTTACATTGATTGATCTTCATTTTCTTCATTATAAGGAATGTTATGTGATTTTCCTGACTTCACAACAAGGCATAATTTTAATCTGAATTTCCGCATTATTTTCCTTGACTTTAAAAATAATTTTTATGTTTTTTCACTTTTTGTATTTTTTGATCATTACATAAGTCATACATATATTCTACTTCATGTTTTAAGCATTACACAAATTTAGAATCCCCTGAAGAATGTACACTATTTACTTGCTTTTACATCTTTAATAATATATATGGGTCTGAGGTGGTGGCTCAGTGACACAGTGCTTGCCTTGCACACGTGAGGCATTGGATTTGATCCTCAGCACCACATAAAAATAAATAAACACAATAAATATTAAATAATAATAATAATAACGGTCTAGTTTAGGTCTTCAGAAATACCCCAAAATTGCAGCATGCAGTAGTACATGTCTACAATTTGAGAGACTGGAGCCTGAGACAACTTAGGAAGACTGTCTCAAAATAAAATGGCTCAAAGGAATGGGGCAGTGGGGGATTGTAATCTTAAAAACAAACATTTTATTTAAAAGTTTAGTTTTCAGGGTTGGAGTTGTGGGTCAGTAGTAGAGTGTTTTTCTTAGACATATGAGATACTGGGTTTGATCCTTAGCACACATAAAAATACATAAATAAACTAAAAGTATTGTGTCCATCTAAAACTAAAAAAATATATATACATTTTTTTAATTTTTATTGTTGGTTGTTCAAAACATTACATAGTTCTTGATATATCATATTTCACACTTTGAAAAATATATATTTTTTAATGTTTACTTTTAAAAGGCTGGGATGTAACTCAGTTGGTTGGGATCATGCTTAAAATGCACAGGCCCTGGGTTGTATCCCCAGCACCACACACCCAAACAAAAAAAGAAAGAGTTTAGTTTTTAAATAGATAAATTTGGTAACTGATCTGTTATCCATTTATACTTTTATAGTTATATGACTCTCAAATATTCTGTCTCAGGTTATTATCCTGCTTTATCTTTCAACTCACTTACAATTACCCTCTTGCAGTCGTAACTGTATATGTCAAGGAACTGACCCAAAGACTTGTGGAGCTTCATACTCTTATGGCTGTTCATGGAGCATGTATTTCAATGGATGTAAATTTGGTAGAAGCCCAAACCCCAGAAGGTTTAGAATTGATCCCAGCTGTCCCAGACATGTAAGTGTCCTCTTCCCTTTTAAATTACATAGCGTGTATATAAATGTATTCCTTTAACGTTTTTGAAATACTAAATATGTACATATATTTTTAAAACTACATATATTAAAACTTAGTAATGAAATCAAGTGTGGTAGCTCATGCCTATAATCCTAGCTACTTGGAGGTAGAAGCGTAGGAAGTTTTAGGCTACTCTTTGGAATTTTGTAATTTTGTAAGACCCTGTTTCAAAAATAAAATTTACAAAAGGTAGTTGTGTTACAGTACCTCTGAGTTTGATTTCCAGGACCACCAAGAAAATATGTCAAGAAATAAAAAAGTAGTAATGAAATACCAAATATGTTTACGTAAATAATTAAAAGTTCCAAATATCCTGCTATGGTAGCACAGGCCTATAATTCCTGTAATTCAGGAGGCTAAGGCTGGAGGATCCAAAGTTTAAAGCCAACCTCTGTACCTTATCGAGGCACTTCGCTACTCAGTGAGACTCTGCCTCTAAATAGAATGCAAAATAGGTGTTGTGATGTGTCCCTGTGTTTGGACTCCATCCCAGGTACACACACAAAAAAAAGTTCAAATAAATTAGGTAAAGATATTATTTTTGGCTCCTTCCTCCTGCGCCTCAACCCTCGTGGAAACTATTGATAGATGAACCTAGAATTTTACACTTCTAGTAGAAAAAAACCATTTACCATTTGCCAACATTTCAAAGACTCAGAAAGTTTAACTACCCACAGAACCTCTATGACAGAATTACTAAAGGACGTAATGCAAGAAGAAGACTTAAGAAACCGGAACGAGTCTGTCCGGAACACAAGGCCATGGTGAGCAAAGAAATTAGTTAAATTTACAATTAAGTTTAAATAAGTTGAGTACTTTCTTTTTTTAATTAAAAGAAGCATCTATTAGTATAATTACAAATTCGTATCAACTTGGTGGAGGTGCGAAACGGGTGCCATGTGGCTCAGTGGGTACTAAGCGTGGCAATATTTTTGCGTTGTTTGGGTGAAGAGGACTTATGTATTAATCATATTAATTAACTTGAAGATTGGTGTTTTCTCTGTTCAGCAGTGACCAAAAGTAAAAAAATAGTATATATTACAACCACTATACATATACATTTACAGAAATAAAAAATTATAATGTGGGAAACAAACAAAAATTTAAGACATTATCAAAGACCAAAACTTAGTGAAATTATAAAATAAAATGTTAAAATATTTCTAAAAGTCTATATCCAGCTAGGGTTGTAGCTCAGTGTAGAGCATTTGCTTGCCTAGCATGCGTGAGCTACTGGGTTCAATACTCAGCACTACATAAAGATAAACAAATGAAATAAAGGCATTCTGTCCATCTACAACTACAAAAAAAATTTTTTTTTAAATAAACTAAAATAAAGTTGTGTTCAAAAGAAAAAGGCATATCAACATTGTTGTAAGAATCCCCTAAGTTTTGTGAGAAAACCATATTTGAGAAAAATATGTATTTAAAAATTTCAACAAATTGAATAAGATTGATATTTTTACTAGTTGTGAGAGAAAAATACATTTTAAAAGAAAACATTTCTTTCAAAACTTTAGCAAAAGAGTTTAAGAAAAATCACTACCCTGACACTGAGGCTAAGGCTCCAAATGGAGAGCTCGCCACCAGCCTGGGCGATTTAGGGAGAACCTGTCACACAATGAAGAATAAATAAAAAAGGCTGTGACCCGGTCATACCTCATCAGTCCTCAGAAACTTCGCCGTCTCAAACTGGGGGGTTAAGTGGAGATGTGGCTAAGTGGTATAGGACCCTTGGTTGAAAAAGACAGGCGGTACTGGAATATAGCTCAGAGGTAGCACGTGTATAGGTTTTGTCCTCAGTTCACCCTACCCCCCAAAAGAGGCAAGAAAATTGACAAAAGGAGTTTTAAAGTCCTTAGTCTACCAAGTGGCAAGTGTGTGGGAGCACACCTGTAAATCCGGAAACTGAGGAAGGGCTGAAGGAGCATGGCAAGATTGAGGCCAAATTTGAGAATATGACAAGACCCTCTCTCAAAATAAAAAGGACTGTTGTTGTAACCCACAGATAGAACCCTCTGGGATTCAATACCCAGTACCCCATCTTCCTGCAAAAATCAAAATATATAAAAAACAAAGCAGTTGGAACTAGTCCAACACAAAAGTCGAACAAAAGGTAGAAAACTATAAAAATTTACTGAAGTTTATATGAAATATATAAAATTTGAAATACCTAAAAATGAACAGGTACTATGCTCATAGATAACAACACCCTATAATTTGATGTCCATCTACCTTAGAATTAAGTAATTTTTTGTTTTTAAATATTATGTAAGGGGCTGGGGCTGTGGCTCAGGGGTAGAGCGCTTGCCTAGCACGTGCCAGGCCCTGGGTTTGATCCTCAGCACCACATAAAAATAAAAAAAATAAAAATAAATATTATGTAAGTATCTTAGTATAAATATATTAATATTTATGGTGAAATTTCATACTACAACAATTATAGATAGCACTATGTAATTAGTAGTTGTGACATCCTTTTTGTTTTTATTAATGAATAAAATTTATATAGTGCTTATAGGAAGAAGCATCACTCATGGCCAATTATGTCTGAATCTCAGCAGACAAGGCAGAGTGAGGTGCAGGTGGCAACCTTATATGCCACCTAAAAAATTCTGTAAGATCACAGAAGGATTTTAAGGAAGAGTTTCCTTAATGAGCCCTCCCTTGATGCTTTTTGAATAATTTGACTGCAATTAGCCTTGAAAGGGTTTAGGAACCTGGGCTACCAATCTATGAGAACAATCCAGAACAGGGATTAATGGTGGCTTGGAATATGACTGTGACACAGGAAATGTGTGCTGTGGTTGGTTTGGAGAGGTTATAAGAACTGGATTGTGGGCTGGGGTAGTGGGTCAGCCGGAGAGTGCTATAGCACATACAGGGCCCTGGTTAGATGTTCAGCACCACATAAAAATGAATGAATGGAATAAAGGTATTGTGTCCAATTACAACTAAAAGATAAATATTAAAAACAAAAAAAGTTGGATTCTGATGTTCTTCCTTCATATGGAACACACTAAGACCAGGATGGCAGAAGACAGACAATGAATTCAATTTGGGCAGGAGAGGTTTGTAGTCCCTAAGGGAAATCTTAAGTGGTGACAGAGCTAAAGAGGAGGTCTAGGTGATAGTTATAAAAGCCATCAATTTAAGTATGATAGTCCTAGAGATCAGATGTGGAGTAAGAAGAGCACAAGGATGTTACCAATAAAACAATGTCAGAATCCTCAAGAATAGACCAAATAAATGAAGTCACGAATGAATTTTCCAGTGGGTATAAACAGATGAAGAACGCAATCTAGAAGTGGAACCTACATGCATTTATTTCTTGCATATAATATAAGGATTGGGGCTGGGGTTGTGGCTCAGTGGAATAGTGTTCGCCTACCACGGGGCCCTGGGTTCGATCCTCAGCACCACATAAAAATAATATAAAGGAATTGTGTCCAACTATAACTAAAACATAATATTTTAAAAAATAAATGAAAGAATAAACATAAGTCAGTAGGGAAATGAATGTCATTTCTCATGCATCATAGTTGCCCAGATTCAGTCATGTCAATCTACAGAATTGACTTCCTACCTCTATATTGGGTAGCTTTGTTTTCTGCAATAATTTAAAAGCATGTTAGAGGAGAACTTGACCACATGAAGGTGTTTTAACTATATTTATGGCATCTGTATCCCAGCTCTCACATGAGGAAATTGACTCAACCTTGTCACGTTCTTCCTTCATCCTTTATCTCAATCTCCTTTAAACTGACTTCCTTAGATGTGATAGAAGTCACATTTGACAAGATTCCAACTTCAAATATAATGGAATCATTTCTGGAAAACATTAACTGGTCTTTGAAGTCTTCTGGTTTTCAATGTCTCCCCTCCCTGCTTCATTCTTCATACCATCAGCACCAGCAGCACTTTAAGTAGATACTCCTATCATTGAGTCCAGATGCTAATGTGGTGCTCATGGTCCTCATATTCCTATCAGATCTATCTAAATTTATAGTCATTATGGTGAAGAAGAGGCAATACTGGTTTTAGACAACTAGTTACTCAATTGATTACCTAATTATCTTTTATCCTCAGGCATTTTATGTGGTAATGGGAAACAAACCCAGTGCCTCCCGCATGCTAGGCAAGTGCTCTACCCCTGAGCTACAACCCCGACCCACTTTGCTATTCTTTAAAAACACACACACACACGTATATCAGGCCTTGTCAAGTGTTTTGGGGTGTTTTTTGATTCCTTTTCTTTTTCCTTTCTTTTCTTTGATAATGGAAATTAAACTCAACCTTGCCTTGTATTTGTTAAGAACTCTACCTCTCAGCCAGTTTCTTTGAAATGTGAAGTTTTACTTTTAAGACAAATTTAGTATATTTGAAACTGGTAACCCAGGATCCAATATATATACTATACATGTTTTTGATATGTTGCTCCTCCTCACTCTTCTCTATTATATAGAAATTCATCGCATTGTGCTGGTTTGCATTCTGTTCTTCAACGTACCCCTTGCCAGCAAGAATCTCCGATTGTATCAAGTGTCCAGTAGTATTGAATATATATAAAGTATGATTCTCATTTGTAGCAACATTTTTTTATGAATTTTTTGTTTGATTGCTTGCTTTTGTGGTACTGGGAACCGAACCCAGGGGTTCTGTAACACAGCTATACTTTCACCCCTTTTTTAATTTGTATTTTTAGACTGGGTATCTCAGAGTTTCTGTGGCCTAAAACTTATGATCCTCTTCCTTCAGCCTCCTGAGTGTCTGCAATTACAGGCCTGTACCACCATTCTTAGCTCTTTAACACTATTTAGATTTTAAATTTTTATTTCCAAGTATGCTATTAAGGTATTACAACTGCAAATAATTTTCCTTTTCATTACAATAAATAATCCCAGCAATTTGGAAGGCTGAGGCAGAAGGATCACAAATTCAAGGCCACAAATTAGCAAGTTTCAAAAGATTAAAAAAAAAAAAACAGAAAGAAAGAAAAAGAAAAACTCTTGTCTGTGATAGTTATTTTATCAGGATGAAGATGAATTATCCATCAGGCATCCATTAGCAATTATTTATCATAGAATTTAATACATTAAATTCTTTTAAATGTCATAAAATAACCTATATGGACTGTCTTTTCCTATAGGAACAATTCTTTGAAGGTATTTTACAGGGTTTGGCTACAGAATTAGCTCCATTGTATAAGCAGATGGTTCCTGAAGCTTACAAAAACCAGGTATGTTTTGAAACATTTTACATTGTTCTTACATATGGTTCAAATTATAACAAAGTACTTATTAGCGGGGTGGGGGGGTGGTGTATCCATGTATGTACACATAGATATATATGTATATGTGCAGGTATGGACTAGTTTTACAAGGATCTAGTAGAGTTTTTGTTGTTGTTCCTTCAATTTTTAACTCTTTCCATTCTAGGAGTTCAGTTAAAGAAGAAGCCTCAGGAAGCTAAGGCCAGACAGTGCAAGTTTTATGCCACCCTTAGCAATTTAGCAAACCCTGTCTCAAAACAAAATTTTTAAAAAGAGCGTTGAGTATAGCTCAGTTTAGCATACTTGCCAAGCATTGAAGTCCTGATCTTATTACTCAGCAACACAAAACATACAAAACCAAATGCTGGATACAGTGCTTCAAATCCATAATCCCAGAACCAGCGAGGTTTCGCACATTTGTAATCCCAGCATTTTGTGAGGCTGAGTCAGGATGATCTCGTGTTTAATGCCAGCCTCAGTAATTGAGTGAATCTCTATGCAATTTAGTGAGACCCTGTCTTAAAGGCACAGCGGTAAAGTGCCCCTTTGTTCTATGCCCATTAGAAAAGAACATATTTGTTTTAAATGAATAAATTAATTTAATGGGCTGGGCATTACTATCTTTTTATAAGTTAGTGTTGAACAATCCAAAACAGATAAATGAAATTCATTGAAATCAATGTTTTTGACATCAAATGATACCAGCCTCTGCAACTTTTGAGGCCCTAAGTATCTTTTTCAGACCCTGTCTCTAAATAAAATATAAGAAAGGGTTGGGAATGTGGATCAGTGGTGAGGTGCCCCTGGGTTCAGTTCCCAGAACCAAATAAGAAAGGAACATGAAATGATCTACAGTATAAAAGAAAAATGCATGTATTTTAAATATGACTGCAAGTGTTTCTTTTCTGGTTGTTGTTATGGTTTTGAAGTTTTATTTATTTTTAGAAAGGTATTTAAACCTAGGAGCACTCTTTCACCAATCTACCTCCTTTTTGTTTGTTTTAAGACAGAGTCTTGCTAAGTTGAATCCTTCTCCCTCATCCTCCAGAGTTGTTGGGATTAATGGCTTGTGCTACTATGCTCAGTAATTTTTACTTCCTTTTTTTTTTTAATTTATTTTTTAGTTGTATTATTTTAATGTGGCGCTGAGGATGGAACCTAGGGCCTCATGTGTGCTAGGCGAGTGCTCTACCGCTGAGCCATAATCCCAGCCCAACTTCCTTCTTTTTAAATGTGGTGCTGGCAACTGAACCAAGGGCTTCGTGCATGCGAAACACGTACTCTATCACTGAGTTACTACACCCCAGCACTAAAAGTCCTTCCCCCCCCCCTTAATTTTATTATAATTTTTGTTTTTTATTTTGTATTATTAGCAGTTGAAACCAGACGTTCTGGGGATGTGGCTCAAGCGGTAGCGCGCTCGCCTGGCATGCGTGCGGCCCGGGTTCGATCCTCAGCACCACATACAAACAAAGATGTTGTGTCCGCCGATAACTAAAAAATAAAAATATTAAAAAAAAAAAAAAAAGAAAGAAACCAGAAGTTCTCTAGTACTGAGGCTGGCCTCACACTTGACCTTTTTCTCAGTTTACTCCACATGCTATTGATGTTAAGCACTTTGTTAGGTAATGATTTTTGTTTCTTATTAAATGTGATTATTTCTGTCTCTTCAATTTTTCTTTTTTTTTCTTGTAGGTAGAATATGAACATGTTGCCCAAGAATGTCGACTTGGTTATAAGGAAGGTCGTCCTTTCTCTGGGGTCACTGCTTGCCTAGATTTCTGTGCCCATTCCCACAGAGACATACACAACATGAATAATGGCAGCACAGTAGTATGTACCTGGGTCACTTGAAATTCTAAAAACTCTTTTGCTATATGCCTACGCTGCAGTTCTTACGTGTGATTATTGTCACAAGTCATGTTGTATATGCTATTAGTTGTCAGTATATAAATAGGTGATATTTATTAAACTTATTGTTAGTGTTTCTAAAAACTTATAGAACTGACCTTGAATAAATACTTTTGAGCTGGGTGCAGTGATACACACCTGTAATCTCCATGACTAGGAACATCATTGGCAGGAGGATCATCAAGCCAGCCCCAGACATGGCCAGGTGTAGTGGTGCAGGCCTCTAAATCCCAGGGGTTCCAGTCGCTTGAGGTAGGAGGAACATGAATTCAAAGCCAGCCTCAACACCAGTAAGGCATAAATTACAAAATAGGGCTGGTGATGCGCCTCAATGGACATGTTCCCCTGAGTTCAATCCCCAGTTCCCACAAATAAATAAATTAATATAATGTACAAAGGCCCTGGGATGTGGCTCAGAGGTTAAGCTCCTTGAGTTTAATTCCTTTACCAAAATAACTAAAGAAACGTTTACGGGTTTGCATTTTATATTTCATTGGATATTTTTGCTGGGAGGTGGGAGTGCATGGTTTGTTGAGTCTTTAATGCAACAATTCAGTGTTATTCAAACTACTATGCATAAAGTTAAGCAAGGCAATTTCTCTTTTTGTCTGGCATCCCTCAGGCTTTTTTTTTTTTTTAATGTTGATACAGGGTCTCACTTTGTTGCTTAGTACTTCACTAAGTAGCTGAGGCTGTCTTTGAACTTGTGATCTCCTGCCTTAGCCTCCTGAGTATCTGGGATTACAGGCATGTGTCACTGTGATAGGTCAATTGAACACAATTCAATAACCATTTCTCAATGTAAGTAATGAAATGAGATTGAATTCAACAAGAAAGTTGAATAGGAAGAATATCAAATATATAATTATTTTTGCAATATAATAATTTACTTATAGAATTCAATTCGATTATACCTGGACAGCTTACAGACAACTGATTAATTGGTAGAATTAAACCAAGTTGATTGTCTTGATAGAAAATATCAAAATTAATATGCCAGCAACAGCTAATTGAAAGTAAAAAGGGTACTGCAGATTTCTTTCATATTTGCCTCAAAAAGAAGGTAATAATAGGGGCTGGGGTTGTGGCTCAGCGGTATGGCACTCGCCTACCATGTAGGAGGCCCTGGGTTCCTCGGCACCATTTAAAAATACAAAATAAAAATAACTACAACTGAAAAATAAACTTAAAAAAAAAAGAAGGTAATAATATGTAAGATGAAGATGTACAGCTTGTATTTCCCACTTATTTTACTCCTAACAGGTATGTACTTTAACCCGAGAAGATAACCGCACCCTGGGTGTTATTCCTGAGGATGAGCAGCTCCATGTCCTGCCTTTGTATAAACTTGCCGACACTGATGAGTTTGGGTCCAGAGAAGGGATGGAAGCCAAGGTCAAATCTGGAGCCATTCAGTTCCTTCAACCAACTTGCAAAAAAAGAACACGTTTTACTCAGCCTGTTCCTCGATCTGGGAAGAAGAGGGCAGCAATGATGACCGAAGTTCTTGAGCGCAAGATTAGGGTAGTGGAGAAGAAACAAATGCCTCGAGTCAAGCAGAAGAATAACTCTGCCCTGGCAAAGAACAGTAAAACTTCATTGGTGCCGCTCCCAGGTGAGCTCTGTGGGACCAAATTTTCTTCTGTGTACAAACTTCTTTGACACAGGGTTGGCAATTTCTCTTTCACCATATTTTTCCTGTCCTTTATCTTACTTCCTTCTTAGGTCAAAGGCATTCTGAGAAGACAGACTTAAAAGGATAATTTACTAGATTTTACTGAGTCTCATCTTCATTATTATACTTTGTTTAGAGTTAAGTCTTAGATTCCGAATATATTTCTACATGGGTATTCAAACTGAAAATTAACAAAAACGTGGCCTATCTCTGCTTTGGGGGGTCGTTTTTGTTTGTTTATTTTTTAATACTGGGGATTAAATCCAGGCACACTTAACCACTGATCCCCATACCCAGCCCTATTTTGTATTTTGTTTAGAGGACAGGGTCTCACTGAGTTGCTTAGTGCCTGCTGTTGCTGAGGCTAGCTTTGAACTCAAGGTCCTCCTGTCTCAGCCTCACTTGCCATTCACATTATATGTGTGGGCCACTGTGCCCAGCTATTTTACATCTTGAGAAAGTGTCTAAGTTGCTTAGGGTCTTGTCAAGTTGCTGAAGTCTTCAAACTTGTGATCTTCCTACTTCAGCCTTCCACGTTACTGGGATTAGAGGCCTGCACCAGTGCACGAGGCTCCTAGATTGTTTTGAGCATACTGAAGAAATCACACATTATCCATTTTCATCAGTATGTATCACTAAATGTTAGAATCTTGCTTCAGCCTCTTAGTATTTGTAGTCAGTTATTCATCATCATTCCCATTAAGGATTTTTGTTACTACCATACAATAACAACAAACAAGAAAGAAAACAAATGTGAAAAAAGCCAGTGATACCATAATTCTATTATTCAGATTATTGAATCAGTATGAACTCAGTGGTAGAATCCTTTCCTAACATTTTGAGGCCCTGCATTAGATCCTCAGTACCACACAAAAAGTCACACATTTTATTTAATTAATAATATGTCAGTCAGGCCTCTCATTTTAAGCTTGCTGTCCCTCTCGGTTTTTCCGCTTTCTTCCTTTATTTATGGAGCAGAAGAAACTATTGTTTAGAGTTAAGTCTAATTGATTGTTTGTGGTATTGGGATTGAATCCAGGTCAGGGCTTCACTCATGATAGGCAATTAATTGCTATTCTACACTATAGACTGCACTATGTCCCCAGTCATTCTTCTCTGAAAAGTGTGCCTAATAAGTGTCTTCCATTGTGGTCAGTTTTTTAAAATTTAATCTCACAAATTTTTTGACCATTTATTTTCGATGCACATTAGGTCAACTCACACACAAATTGTGTGTGTGTGTGTGTGTTTGTGTTACCAGGTATCAAACACAGGATATATATATATATATATATATATATATATATATATATATATATATATATATATTTTTTTTTTTTTTTTTTTTTTTTTGGTGTAGATGGACAGAATACCTTTATTTTTATATGGTGCCTCACACATGCTAGGCGAGCGCTCTACCACTTGAGCCACAACCCAAGTCCCTCATCCACTAAACTTTAGGTTTTTTTTTTTTTTTTAAGAGAGAGAATTTTTTAATATTTATTTTTCAGTTTTCGGCGGATATAACATCTTTGTATGTGGTGCTGAGGATCGAACCCGGGCCGCACGCATGCCAGGCGAGCGTGCTACCGCTTGAGCCACATCCCCAGCCCTCCACTAAACTTTAAAATGACTCAAATTTGTTGTAATTTTCCTATCCTTGGTCTACAGAAATCCCTTCAAGCTGGCTTGTGAATTTATGTATGTATGTCTTGTGAATTCTTTTGTTACACCCTGAATGTGTTTCTCAGCTTCTGTTACAACAGAATGTTCCAGGCTTATTTTATATAATTCTGCTCTGTATCTAATAACACCCATTTCTATAAGGAGCCTACAGAAAAATACATCATCAACTTATACTGATATTAAAACTTAGAATGAGGAGGAGGAGGCAGCATGAGAGGTTCCTAATGAAGGTAATAAGAAAGAATGTAAGACAGGAAAATAATTTAATATTTTTACTGTGGGCCTTGCTGGGTTGCTGAGGCTGTCCTTGAACTTGTGATCCTCCTGCCTCAGTCTCCTGAGTTGCTGGGATTACAGATGTGTTCCACTCTACGCAATTATTGAAGAAAATCTTGTGTTATTCAAAGACTTCTTTCATTCAATATTCTTATTAACATGAAGAATTCTCTTCCTTAAGAACATAATTGTGGGGCTGGGGATGTGGCTCAAATGGTAGCATGTTCGCCTAGCATGCATGAGGCACTGGGTTCGATTTCCAGCATCACATAAAAATAAAGATATTTTTTTAAAAAAAGAACATAATTGTGACTCTTGTGTGAGATATTCTTAGGCATTAAATGTAATGAAAATATTTAAACATATTGAGTTGTTTTTAGGTCTTTTGCCTTGATTTTAACTTATTATTAATATTTGAAAACTTGATGGTTAAGGATGTGGCTCAAGTCACAGCACACTAGCCTGGCATGTGTGAGGCAATGGGTTTGACCCTCAGTACCACATAAAAATAAAATAAAGGTATTGTGTCCACCTTAAAAAAAAAAAAAACAAACCTAAAAAGTAGATATTTTTAAAAAATTTGAAAACTTTATCAACCAGCTATAATTGTTTTGAATACAGAATGTGTTCCTCTTGCAGGAGCTGTACTTTTGTGTTTTATTCACCCTTAGGGAAGCCTAATGTAACTTTCAAAATAAATTTCTTAACATTTTTAAACATGAATACCAATTGCTGAATAGCATACAGAATATTTCCACAATTGGGTGATAATACAGTATTTTTCAGTTATGTAAACTATGTGATTGTGCATTCATGTGTAAACCTATGTGTCTTTCTTCTGTCCAAATATTTTATCACTTCCTGATGTCAATATGATTTTTAAATTTATGTTTGATTTAGATATTATTTCAGTCAAATTAGAGTTACATATAAGGATAGTCTCACATGAAACAGATGCACAACTTTATCGTTGACCTACTGTTTATTCTTTGACTTAATAAAAAGCATTAAACTGTCATATATATATATATATATATATATATATATATACTTAGAATGACAGGATAGCACTGGGCAAGTACCCCTGTGGAAAACCTTGTGCTTAGTCTGTGCTTAGTCTGGATTGGGTTCAATCCTCAGTACAGAAAAAGAAGAATCTAGAGCTTTCCTATCTTCTTTTATTTTCACATTTATAAGATGGCTTGTTCATTTTATGAGATGAAAGAAATCATAATACAGGTATTTAATTATTACTCTTTTTTTGTGTGTGTGGTGCAGGTTAGAACCCAGGGCCTTATGCATGCAAGGCAAGATTCAGCTTCATATAATATAATATAATGTAACATAATATAATATAATATAATACTACTTGATACTTTTTTGATGTGGTTAATGGTGATCAAACCCAGGGCTACTCAACCAATGAGGCATAACTCCACCCTTTTTTTGTATTTTATTTATAGACAGTGTCTCACTGAGTTGCTTAGCACCTTGCTAAGTTGCTGAGGGTGACTTTGAACTCCTGATAGTCTTGCCTCAACTTCCCCAGCTGCTGTGATTACAGTCGTGTACCACCGTGCCCGGCCTGCTTGATACTTTTATTTCGTTCCTTTCATGTTCCTATGATGTGTCATCTAAGAAACTTGGAAATCTTCTGAAGCTGGTTATGTTTATTTTTACATTACTATATCATAACATGGGTCCTTTACTTTTCTTTCTTGTCATTGCTAAATTGACTAATTTTCCTTTCCCGAATATTTTCCAGCTTCAAAACAAGTTTAGAATGTCTCAAGGTAAATGTTTTTCGAGTAAAAATTTTTATGACTTCCTTTACATATGAGGCCTTTATTACCCAGAAATATATTTGAACTATTACTTAAATTGCGCTAGAAATGTTAACATGAGGCTGGGTATGGTAGCACATACCTATAATCTTCGCTACTAGAGAAGCTAAGGCAAGTTCCAAGATCTGTCTATGCAAGTTACCAATACTCTGTCTCAAAATAAAAAATGAGGTGTAGGAAAGTCCACTGACAACTAAAAATATATTTTAAAAAATAAATTTAAAAAATTTTTTAAAAATTGAAAAGTCATATAGATATTTGGTAGTTAAATATTTTTCCATGTCATTGTGTTATCACTTGCAGGGCATACCAATGTTTAGTTGAGCTTTTTGTGCATAGCCTATTAGGTCATTTTTTTTTTTTTTTTTTTTTAAATATTTATTTAGTTAGTTAGTTCTCGGCGGACACAACATCTTTGTTTGTATGTGGTGCTGAGGATCGAACCCGGGCCGCACGCATGCCAGGCAAGCGGCTACCACTTGAGCCACATCCCCAGCCCCGTCATTTTTTAATTTACCATTTTAAATGATGAATATCCATGCTTATGGATAACTCTTTGCACTTATTTCTAATTTCTAATTGCTTCCAAAAAGAAATGCGTTATGGAAAATTATGAATTAAAAACTAATACTGGGGCCAGGCATGGTGTCCCATACTGGAAAGAGCAAGGACAGAGGATTGCAAGTTCAAGGCTAGCCTCAGCTACTAAGCAAGACTATGTCACACAATGAAAAATAAAAATAAGGCCTGGCACAGTGGCATACGGGCTAATAAGGAGGCTGAGGCAGGAGGATGGTGAGGTCAAAGCCAGCCTCAGAGGCAACCTTAGTGATTCCCTAAGCAACTCAGCAAGACCCTGTCTCTAAATAAAGTACAAAAAAGGCCTTCGGATGTGGTTCAGTGGTTAAGTGCCCCTAGAGTCAATCCCCAGTACCAAAAAGAAAGCATGATTATGTAGCTCAGTGGTAGAGCACCTCTGGGTTCAACGCCCAGTACCACCATGATGCCAAAAATATAAATAAAAATTTAAAAAATGTCTAACAAGCTAGGATGTAGCTCACTGGTAGAGTACATGTCTAGCACATACCTGACCTTGGGCTCCTTCTCTAGCTTCAGAGGGAAAAAAAAATCATAGCTTGTTTTTACATTCCTTGTTCCTTTATCTGTTTAGGGAATAATAGTGAGACAGTGCAACCTGGAATAAAAGGTGAAACTAAACATCATTTTATCTTCAAAGGTTCAGAGAACACTAAATGCTATTCATCGACCCCATCCATTCCTCCAACAGTGAATGAGGCAACCCTGTCTCCAGTATTCTGTTACCCGAAGACTTCTTCCGTGCCAACAGCTCCATTTAATTTCAATAAAGTAGCCTCCTCTGGGTTTTCAGAAAGAAGTAGCATTCCCCACTGCACAATGCCTTCTGGAAGACACAGTGGTGCTAATGCAGCTGCTGGGGAAGGCACTGGAATTGCACAGCCCATCGACCTGGCTCCTCCTCCCTCCCTGCCTCCTCCCATGACAGATTCCCTTGCTTTTTCTGAGCCTCCCACTGGTCCAACTGAGCAGCTAACTACTAATCAGCCAAATCAGCAGCCCCCATTCCTCATTTCTCCTCATGAGCCTGCTTCCTGTCTGGTGGAAGAAGATGAGCAACATTCTGAAGCAGATGAGCCTGTATCTGATGACCCCCTATCAGATGACCTTCTTTCACCTGCTGAGGAAAAATTGCCCCATATCGAGGAATATTGGTCAGACAATGAGCACATCTTCTCGGATCCCAATATTGGTGGGGTGGCAATTGCGCCCACTCATGGTTCTGTCATGATTGAGTGTGCCCGGCGAGAGCTTCATGCTACCACTGCTGTGGCCCACCCAAACCGCAATCATCCTGCTCGCCTCTCCCTTGTATTCTACCAGCACAAAAACCTGAATAAGCCCCACCATGGTTTTGAACTAAACAGGATTAAGTTCGAGGCTAAAGTAGCTAAGAATAAGAAAATGAAGGCCTCAGAGCTGAAAGACCAGGCAGCTAACAAGGGTGCTGAATTGTCCCCTGAAATAAATGAATTGAACCAAATTCCTTCTCATAAAGCATTAACATTAACCCATGACAATGTTGTCACTGTGTCCCCTTATGCTCTAACACAGGTTGCAGGGCCCTATAACCGGTGGGTCTGAAGGCTTTCCTCCCCTTCTTAATGCCTTTCCTCATGCAGTGTATTTTTTCAAGGTGCTGTTAAGAGAAAGTCATGTTGTCGTTTACTCTATCTTCATCTCACCCATTTCAAGTCTGAGGTAAAAATTTTAAAAATGGGGTGGGTACTTAACTGTGACTATTTTGTCAATTGGTAGAAGGTGCACATTTTAAGCAAAAATAAAAGTTTTCTAGTTTTAAATACATAAAGAAACGTTTTGGTTAGGTGTTAACCTTGACAGAATCACTCAGTTTGGTGCTTTAAATTAAGTCTGTTTACTATGAAACAAGAGTCATTTTTAGAGGATTTTAACAGGTTCATGTTCTATGATGTAAAGTCAAGACACAGTGTTAACTCTACACAGCTCCTGGTGCTTAACCACATTGACACAGTTAAAAATAAGCTGAATCATTGTTTCATGGTGCCATGTTCCAATATCTTCCAATCATTGCTAGAAAATCAGCATTTTCCTTTGAAATAAACCAATGAAATGCTTTCTCTCTTTAAATATTTCTCCTGTATAAAATAATTCATTATTGTTTGTAATGGTTGGAGGCTGTTCGTAATTGTAAATATATATATTTTCAAAGCACTTTCTATTTTTAAAAGTAACTTGAAATAGTATAGTATAGGAATCCTATTGTCTATTGTTTGTGCATATTTGCATACAAGAGAAATCATTTATTCTTGCTGTGTAGAGTTCCATCTTGTTAAATGCAACATGTTATTTGCATCCTGTATATGATTTTTATTCTTTTAATGTGTCCTTTCATGTTATGTAATAGCTACTTATATAAAATAGTGAATAATTCCTAAAATTGGACTTAAGAAACATCATCAATATTGACTAAGTTGTTTTAAATTTTAAAATAGTGTGGTCTCTTATGATTTATTGAGCTACCATGGCCTCAAGTTACTTCCATCCCAGCTTTTTCAATATAACCCATTAAACAAGTTTCAAAAGGGAAATGGGAGAAAATGTGATTCAGAAGAGTCAAATGCTTTTAATGTGTCAAAGTGATATAATACAAAAATTAAGTAACCAGAATCCTACCCATCCCAAATTGTTTTGTTTTTTTTTTTTTTGTTATGATATCCATCCTTGTATAGAATAATAGTTACTCCCTGGCCCTAGTCAAAGAATGATAATAGTATTATAAATATGGTTATACCGAAACAAAATGTTTAGAACAAGAAGAACCTTCTAAGAAATACTTGATTCTGTTAAAATGTAGAGGTGCTATAACATTCAAAGTATCAGATTCTTTGGGAGTCCAGAAAACCTAATGGTGCTTCTCCCTTGAAATGGCATAGGAAGCCCACAACTGCTAACTCATAATTTTGGTGCAAAAGCAAACAGTTCCAGCAAGGTCTTAAAAAAAAAAAAAAAAAAAAAACTCATTATAACTTATTAAAATAATATATGGTGCAAAGTATCAGTTTAAAGCTTTTGACTAAGTAAAGGAATATGAAGGGATTGTAAATAAGGACATGTCCATTAATAGACCTGTATATGTAAAATAGGGTAATTCAATGACTTGTTTTAGTATTTTCTGTGCCTTAGATATCTGTTTTAAAATGTGGCGTTTTTTTGTTTTGTTTTGTGTTTTTGTTGTTTTTTGAGCCTAAGGTTTCTTATAAGTATATAAGTGATTGTTTATTGCTTCAGCTGCTTAAATAACATATTTTCTAGCATTTGACTATCAGGAATAGACCCTTGTGATAACTACATTTTAGATTTTAAGCCTTAGCTCCCACTAGAAGTTGTTTCCTCACCAGATATAATGGATAAAACTTTATGTCCCTTAATGCATCCATCCATCTACCCATTTTCCCAGTACACACTTATTGAATACCCGAAAAATTTAAATGTCACTTTTGTTTTTCTCTGAATCATCACCTATGAAATGGTAGAGTTGAAGAATTAAAATCCTCAATGATACCTTGGAAATATATTTTTAAAGAAATAGCAAATTACATTCCAAATAATCCATGGTAGTATATGTACAATAATTCAAATCAATTTGTTTTTGTCTTTAAAAAACTTTCATAATAATCTAAACTTATAACACCAATGTTAATTAAAGGGAGTAGTGGGATTTGTGAAACTAGTTATAGTTTACCAAAACAATTACTGAGAATGCCCATTTTAAACTACAATGTTTCCAGTCCATTGTTGTAATTAACATCATGAATGGAAATGTGCTCTTTCTCCTGAAGTGAGAAAATAAATTGGTTTGAATGACATTTTCACTCATAAAACTGGTCATCTAACATTATTTCTGCATTTCTATTATGTTTTAGTATAATGACTTTTCTTTTTCCTCTTTATTGCACTCAAATTAGGTTTTAAGTCTGCTTTTTGTTCATGGTATGATCATTGAATTCATTTATACCTGACTTCCAAGTTATTCCAGTTAATAATGTTACAAATTTATCAACTATAATGGCCAGGCGCAGTGGCACTCACCTGTAATCCCTGTGGCTCTGCAGGCTGAGACAGGAGAATTGAAAGGTCAAAGGCAGCTTCAGCAATGGCAATGCGCTAAGCAACTCAGTGAGACCCTGTGTCTAAGTAAAATACAAAAATGGGGGTTGGGATGTGGCTCAGTGGTCGAGTACCCCTGAGTTCAATCCCCAGTACCAAAACAACAAAATTTATCAACTATAATAAAATAACTCTTGCCTATTGTAGAATCCTACTGAAAGTATAACTGTCCCTCAAAATTCCATTTCTAGTGTTTATGAGGCCATCACTGAATTATATTTTCCCCCTCTGCTCATCAGCCTTACCTACATTTTGTTTCCAATTCATCCTTAAAGAGCCAACTAGATCATATCAACCTAATTGAAATATCTATTGGGCAACGAATCTACAATTGTAGTTGAATTTTGGGGACATTCACATCTTCAGTAACTTTCTAACATCATTATTCAATTTGCATGTGGATGAAATAATTTGATTTGTTACATACAGAACTTCACTAGATGAGATCCATAACCAATTTACTTAAGACATAACCCCAATACATACTTAATTGAATGCATACCCTTGTGCAAATGTACCGACTTAGGTCATAGGAAGTAACCTACTTTCTAATGTTATTACTCCTGTGGACTCACTGATTATCATTCCACCATAGCATGAGTGAAACTAACCTGGAAATAGTTCTTTAAAACAAAAAAATCAAGATTTTTTTTTTTCTGAGGCAAATTTAAAATATCATTGCATGACAGTTTCCACCAATAATGGGCACAGCATTTCCTTTGAACATGCCTACTAAATTGATTGGTTTATGCAATCTTCAGTAGTTTCCTTCAATTTCACACTTTAATGCATAGAAACCTAGGTTTACTACAAGTGTGAGTATTAATCTTTTGTAGAAATTTATGACAATTGTTAAATCAGATAACATGTTAGCTTCTCAGAATGTTGGAGTTCACCTCAGAAGTCAAACAGTTCGTTCACTAGAAGCCAAAGAACAGATATCAATTTCAATTTGTAATTAAACCTTGAACCTTGTACAGGTGAAGACTACTTTGTGCTTATAACCATAGAGTATAAACAAACTTTATTTTCTCACCCACAAAGTGATTTATCACTAGGAAATTGTCTTCTTTGGGAACGTATCAAAAATTAAATGCCAGGTATTGTGGTGTCCGTCTGCAATCCCAACAATTCTGGAGGCTGAGGCAGGAAGATTATAAATTCAATCTAGCCTCTGAAATTTTGTGAGACTCTAAGCTAGTTAGTAATGAAACCCTGTTTCAAGATAAAGGAATACAAGTGGACTCCGTGGTAAGCACCTCTGGGTCCGAGCACACACAAAAGAAAATAACATAAAATTGCTTTTCCCCTCCACCCTGAGATCTTTAGAAAAAGTGAACAGTGAAAATAGGTCAAAATGCCTTTGCCTGCTGACTTCATGTACTTTTGTGGGAAATTAGCTGACTTACCCATGAAGCTGTCTTTTGTTTGTTTGTTTGTTTTTTATTTAATTTGGCACGGTACTGGGGACTGAACCCAGGTCCTTATGTGTGCCACTGAACTACCTCCTCATCCCTGGAAGCTATTTTGTTAACTCTTCCTAGAAGATGTGGCAATACTCTGGCATTTCATTAAGCACATCTCAAGAGCTTCTATAGTGTAGGCTTATACTTATTCCTTCCCTTGGTACCTAGCATACATAAGGGTGTTTTTAAAATATTGGATGATTAAGAGGGCTGGAGCTGTAGCTCAGTGGCAGAGCACTTGTCTACCATACATGTGGCACTGGTTTCAATCCTCCGCACCACATTAAAAAAAAAATACAGCCATTTTAAAAGATTGGATGATTGAAATATTTGAGGAAAACATTTCCATACTACCTAGCCATGGTTATACAACTCCCTTCATATCCAGCTAGGCAAGTCCCAGCAATTAATTTCGATGTGTCTCTCTACATGAAGTGGAATATTGTTTCAACATCCATAGCTCCTAAAATTACTCATAGGTGTGTTGTAGCTTCAACACAGGTCTGTACATCATACTTAACTAAGTGATGTCATCAGTGCCAGATTACCGAGTCTGAGTTTATCTAAATCAAATTGTGTTCCATTTTGAGTTTTCTTCTAACAGCGTTAGAAAATGTTTTCATTGTGGCTCAGGAAGGCAATTCTGAAAGTCAAAACCCGTATGTACTTCATTGGAAACTGAGTCTGCATTTTCTTAATGTATGTGCTACATAGAAACAGTAAGCTGAGACAGGATGATTAGTTCAAAGTCAGCCTCAGCAATTTATCCAGGCCTTAAGCAACTCAGTGAGACCTTTTCTCTAAATAAATATAGGGCTTAGAGATGTGGCTCAGTGGTCAAGTGCCCCTGAGTTCAATCTCCAGTGCTCAAAAAACAAAATAAACTGAATACCTTGCTGGACACAGTAATCAAGAGGATCACAAGTCAGCCCAACCTGGGCAATTAAGCAAGGTCCTGTCTCATGATAAAATATATTTAAAAGAAGAGAGAGGTGGCTGGAGATATACTCAGTGATAGAGCACTCCAGTTTCAATTCCTAGTACCACATTAAGGAAAAAGGAAGTTTCTCTATTAATTTTTTAAAAATGGTAGAGCGAGCTTTTATTCAAGAGCTCACTATTTTTGTCCTTGTTGAGCTACCTATTCGGTTCAGCATCTGGATGAATTTGATTTCCCACATCTTAAGCCTGGGCTGGTCTTTAACTACAGCAATCTTCCTGCCCCAGCCTCCCAGACAGCTGATACTATAGGCATGAGCTGCTGTGCCCAGCTTGAATGAATATGTTTTGATCCTTTTTTGGGGAGGGATGCGCCCAATTAAATATCACTGTTTACGCAGAAGGATTTTTTTTTTTTTTTGAGATAGAGGTCTTCTTTATTCCCCAAACAAGCCTCTGACAAAAGGCATATGTTTCATTACATCAAGTAATCCAAAGGGAACACTTATATTGTCACTCTTCATTTTCACTTGTGTTTAAAGTGCCTCAAGGCCAGGTGCAGTGATGTGCCTCCTCAAGAGGCTGAAGCCAGACACATCACAAATTTGAGACCAGCTTTAGCAAGACCCTATCTCGAAATAAAAAATAAAAGGGGCTGGGGATGTAACTCAGTAGTTTAAGTGACCCTGGGGGGTTCAAACCCCAGTACCAAAAAAGGAAGGGGTAGCTCAAGGCATGTTCAAGTTTATCTTGGTTAGTATGCAAACACTTCATATTCCTAGCTTTAAAATTCAAACATTAATAATTTCCTTATTTCCTGTAGACATTTTTACATCCCTACTATCATTCTCATTATCTTATCTGGGTCATAAACTTTATTCTCCTTTGTTCAGCCATAGATGTCCCTTATTTTAAAGCAAAATTTAGTCAAAAGTAGGAATGTTATCAAATAGAGCATAAGCTGATTTAACTCACTTATGTTTGAATGTGATGTTTGAGAATTGGTTAATCCTATAAACATAATTGTCTAAAAATAGAAATTTTGCCCCAGCAGCTGTTATGTAAAGGCATTCTCGTTCATAAGAAAAAAAAATTGCAGCTGTCAGATTTTCATTTTAGGAGAAATAATATTGGAATGTAATTCTCCATTTGGCAGGCTATAAACTTAAAAGCCTGGGATAAAAATTCGGATCATTATTATTTTTCCATTTTATGGAAGCTGCACTGTTTGCTAAGTTCACTTTGATTCTTTTTACATCTTTATTCTTCCTGTGATTTTTATTTACATTAATAAAAATTTCTTTGTCCATTTCTTTGTTCTGTTTCCATTCCTCAGGTCCATTCTGCAAATACACATGGTTTGTTTTAAAAACAGTAGTGACCTTGGTTAAGTTGTCTTTTTCTGTCTTTTAAAATCATCTCTCACAAGTCCTTTCAGATACAATACCAAAAGCAATCAAGAGCTTTTATTAAACCATTTAAATTTAGTGGCAAATTCTGTTTATAGGAATATGCAGTAGATATAAGAACAGAGTTTATTATCAAGTGGTGTCTCTACAAATCCCATTAATATTTAAATTTTTTCTTGGTGTTCAAGACTTTTGCCAAAAAAATTGTATTAGAAGAGAAATATTTTAAGACTTTGTGTTTGGTATGGTTTTGCAATTTCTGTGTAATCCCTCATGCTAATTATAAATTTACTAAACAGTAACTGAATTAGTAATGGATCTTATCTACAAAGTAGGCAGTATCTCTTTACCTGTATTTCTAATTTCCCAATCAAACTATGTGGATAGCTATTTTCTAATGTAAATTTACTCCTTTGGCATTCTTAGGTTGTTAGCAATAGTAGGAACTATTCTATAATCTGGGTGAGAAAAGTCTAAAAATGAAAGTAATTGGAAGAGGGTGATTCAGTAAGCCATCAGAAAGTGAAGGGCACGGCACTATGGGGAAGAGTTAAGGGCCAGAAAGGAGGGAGAATTATGCTCCTACCAGCAACTGAAGGTTCAATCAACCACCTCAAAAGGAAGAGATACTTTTTAATATTTCTTCTTTGCACTCTACAACATTTTATATGTGAAAGTTGCTGCTAAAATTAAGGAAATGTTTTGGACGTAAATATGACAGTAATAAAAGCTATGATCCTTGGCTGGGGAGATATCTCAGTGGTACAGTGCTTGCCTTGCATGTTCAAGGCCCTGGTTTAATCCCCAATATCAATAATAATAACAATAATTATAATAATACCCCTGTACTTAATGAAGCACTATTATAAAACTGCTTTATTATGTGCAACTTTTTCTTTCTGACACTGAAAATCAGACAAAGAATATTATTCCCATCTTACAGATCAGGAATATGCGGATGACAAGAATAGTAAATGGCTGGGACTTAGAGAGTCACCAAGCAACTCAAACAATCTGAGAATAAAATATTTAAATATTTAGTATCTGCAGAGAATCTTATAATTTGAAGAACATGTTTCTCAAGTATTTTGTTTCCATTATTTATTAAACTAGCTATTTTCTCATGCCTAAGAAAAGATTCCTAAATTCCTAGGACTTACATATTAGGGCTTGGATTTACTGTTTCTTTGGTTTTTTTTTCTTCCTTAAAAAAAAACAAAAACAACTTTATAAAGAATATCCCTGGGGGCTGGGGATGTGGCTTAAGCAGTAAGGTCACCTGGCATGCGCGGGGCACTGGGTTTAATCCTCAGCACCACCGAAAAAACAAAAAACAAAAAAAAAATACCCCGGTACTACTAAAATCGGGAATCTTCTAAATAATTTTTCGAATACTACTTAAAAAAAGAGGGTCAGCACCTCACAATCAATGTTTAATGTATTTCTTAAAATTTATTGAAGTGCACGTTTCTTGAAGGATATGGTGCAAGGTAAGCAATTCTAGTTCCCAGCCCCTCATAATATAAATGCTAAATTGTTGGCCTATCTAAAAGGAAACACTTTTTTTTTTAAATTTGAATTTGTCTTGTTTTTTGTTTCTCTTTGTTTTCAGGCACATAAAATTTGTGGTTCAAAAGATATATATTCCTTTGCCAGAAGGTTAAGAAAAATAATGAGATGTATTTGTAAAGTTTCTAATAACCTTTATATAGATTATTTTAGCAACCCCTATATAAATATAGAGTGAATATTTTGACTATTCCATCAGTACAAAAATCCAGGCCAAAATTTGAATATTAAGAACAAACAAAAAAAATCTTATGATTTTGGTGAGTTTGGTAACTGCCTATCCTCACCAATGCCTATCTGTGCTAGGATAAAATGGATAATGATATAGAATTTCACAAAAACAGCTCTTTTTAAAAAAAGATTAAATATTTTTATTGCAATGTATGGTTATATATTTTTTTTTAGCCTTTGTAAGATAACATTGTGATAGGTGCTTGAAGAGGATATTTTTCCAGAACTGGTTTTATAGTAAAAACTAAGGGCAGCTTTTGCATTGTGAAATATGGGTAGATGGCCATATATGGGTTACTGAGAAATCAAGATGTGTTCCCTAAAAAGAAACTTATAAAATTACTTGGCAGAGAGATAACCATGTTTTCTGTTTCGTTCACATTTTCTCATGCTATATGGTCACCTACCAAGTAAATTCACATGCATATCATTACCTTGGCTTAAAGGAGAAGCAGAATGCTCATTCTTGGCAGGAACAAAATGCTCAAAGGTTCTTTACCATGGTGAAATAGAGTAGTACTGAATTCCCAAGAGAGAATTATCAGTTTTATAAGTTAATATTTCTTGTCTCTACCTGACTTCTCTCTTTGGAATATATTTACTATTTATTTTTTTACCTTTGATTTTTTTGCTTTGGGGTATTTTTTTTTTATCTATTGCCGTCCTACTGTATTAAATATCCCTTATATTGAAATGTTTGTAAAGAAATACTCTTTAAAACTTCACAAAATATCTGTTTTAGTTCTTAACATATGAGGGAAACAGTTAAAGAAAAAGCACTTCACCATGTAGAAGGGAAAGAGATAATTCTGTAATTATGATACTTTTATTACATGATCAACATTTAGGCCTCTGCAGACAAGGGAACACTTACTAGCAGTACTTGAAGACGTAAGTTGGAATTGCATGTTACTTGAAAGATCTAATTAAGCTAAATTTTGGTGCACAGCAGTTGTACATGATTTCATGTTTATGTAGCAAAATGCATTGAAATGTACTAGTATTGAAATATACATGTAAAGGTAGTTGTGGAAATTGTCTATTATATTTTCCTGTGTGTTTAATTTGTTAGAGCATAAACTTTCTTTTTTTAATTGTTCTAACTAAATAAGGCTAAATGAATAATGTAATTGAAAATATATTTTAAATCTTTGTGATGAGTTTTTAAAAAAAAACTATTACAAAATTGTATCATTCCTGATTACACAGAACTTTGTTGGTGGTTTTAAATAAATTTTATACTTCTATTTTGCACCTGGTAGTCTAATTTTTCTTTCCTCTTCAAAATCATATTTTAAAAATTTAGTATCCTACAGAATTCACACATTTTAATTACAAAAGACAATAAGATTTAATATTTGGAGATGCCAAACATATAGATAATGTTAAACACTAAACCAAGGCTGGAGGTGTGGAATGCACTGGATTCATTGCCCAACAATTAAAAAATAATAACAAAAAACTGTCCTTTGGTTGCACTAGCCATGTTTGAAGTGCTTAGTGACCACAAGTCATTATGTGTCTACTGTATTGGATAGCTCAGCATATAGAATATTTTTATCACCCTAGTCCTTTGTAGTCTTATCACCTTGTTGCATGTTTTCCCCTGGTAATGATTAATTTGATTTCAGTTTGTACGGTTTTTTATGTTTTTTAGAATGTTAAGAAAATCAAATGGCTGGCTTATTTCATTTAGCATAATGATCTAGAGATTCACCCATGTTAAGAACCCTTATTTACTACAAAAGATAACCTTAAATAATAATCAGATGTCACCCAGATTAGATGTGCTGGTGGCAATTGATCTTCAACTGATTCATGTATCCAAGCAGAAATGAAACAAAGATTTTTAACCATGTTTAGTGGTACATACCTGTAATCCTAGATACTTGGGAGGCTGAAGTGAGAGGATCACAAATTTGAGGCCAGCCTGTGCGATTTATTGAGACTCTGTCTTAATAAAATGGACTGGGTATATTGCTAAATGTTATAGTATGTGTGAGTCTCTGGGTTCCCCCCTCAGTACTGCACCCAGAAGAATTACATATATATTTTTTTAGTTATGCAATATTTTTATGTGGGACTGAGGATCCAACCCAGTGTCTCACACATGAGAGGCGGGCACTCTCCCTCCCCACCACAATATCAGCCCCATATATACTTAAGTTTTATAAGTATACACTTATGTGTATATAATATATATATATGTTTAAACTAAGACTTAGTGTTCTAAGTGCTTTCCGTTAGGTCATGTTATCTTTAATCAAGAAGTACACAGGCCTGGGGTTGTGTCTCAGCGGCAGAGTGCTTACCTAGGCGCTGGATTTGATCCTCAGCACCACATAAAAATAAAGTTATTGTGTCCAACTACAACTAAAAAATATTAAAAAAAAAAAAAGTAGAAGTACACAGAGTAAAAACTAAATCACCTGCTCAGCCTGCCACAGTGATTAACAGGATCTAAGCAAGCATGGAGTAGCAAGGTCTGGCTGATCTATTCCCAAGAAATACTTGGAAAGAAAAAATATAACATTTTCCTCAGGTTTGATATTATATATTGTGTCATGAAAATTTTGGTATACTGATGACTTTGTATTATTCTGTTAAGGAATAGAGTGTCTTGGGTGGGATGCGGTAGCATACACCTGTAATCCCAGTCGCTATATAGTTGAGGCTCTTAATCTCTACTTCCCTCCACTGTCCCTTCCCCATATCTTAGGGAACTGCTTTGTGAGGTGATTTGATCACTACACTTTAAGATGGCCTTCTGGGGGCTGGGGTGTAGTAGAGTGCTTGTCTAGCATGCGTGAGACATTGGGTTTGATTCTCAGCACCACATAAAAATATAAAAAAATCACATAATAAAAGCATTCTGTCTTAAAAAAAATGGCTTTTTTTTAATGTTCAATACTGATAATGATATGCAAGTTTCTTTTCTCCTTTCCTTTCTTCCTGTTTGGGGGATGGGGGCGGAGAGAGAAAAGAGTCAGCTTTCTTTTATTTGGACCACTGGAAGATCAGTCTATTCATTTTTTTTTTTTTTTTAATGACATTAGGTAGACTACTGCCCAATGCACTTCATTTTATTTATTTATTTATTTATTTAAAGAGAGCAAGAGAGAGAGAATTTTTTTTTTTCAGTTTTCGGCGGACACAACATCTTTGTATGTGGTGCTGAGGATCGAATCCGGGCCGCAAGCATGCCAGGCCAGTGCGGACCTGCTTGAGCCACATCCCCAGCCCAGAGTCTATTCATTTTTGTTGTTGTTTTGTTTTGTTGGTACCAGAGACTTTATCAACTGAGTCACATTCCCACCAGAGATTGAACCCAGGGTCCCTTAACAACTGAGCCACATATCCAGTCCTTTTTTTTTTTTTAATGTTTTATTTAGACAGGGTCTGCTAAATTGCTTAGGGCCTCATTAAGTTGCTGAGCCTGGCTTTGAACTTGTGATCCTCCTACCTCAGTCTCCTGAGCCAATGGGATTACAGGTATGTGCCACCGCATCCCACCCAAGACACTATTCTTTAACAGAATAATACAAAGTCATGAGTATGCCAAAATTTTCATGACATAATATATAAAACCTGAGGAAAATGTTATATTTTTTTCTTTTTCCAAGTATTTCTTGGGAATAGATCAGCCTAGGCCTTGCTACTCCATGCTTGCTTAGAGACAGGCCATTGATTCCATATATTCATAGGTGAAAACAGCAGAATCATATAACACATGACGTGAAGCCTTCCCACCTACTGCGGCTAGAGTGTCCAAGGTTTCCATGGCATGTTGGTAGAGTCCTAATTCTCATTTTTTAAAAAGTCACAATTCCCAATGTCATTTGGACTACCACCAGCACAATTTCTCTAATTCATTTGGTCTTTGTACATCTCTGAATCTCATTTCTTCACAAATGTTGACTATATTTTTTCTCAGAGAGGAAGCAGAAATCATAGATTAAAATCCTCTCCTTTTGCCTGCTCGTTTATAAACCAACCCCAATCTGCACCTCTCTTCATGTCTTTCCACCAAATAAAAAATAAAAGGGCTGATTCATCGATGGACATTGGTTTCTGCCCCATTTTTCCTTCTCAAGGACTTTATTTATTTATTTTTTAAAATTTGTGTCTTAGTGGTACTGGGGATTGAACCCAGGTTTGCTATATCACTGTGCTACATCCCCAGCCCTATTTATTTATTTTTTGCAAGGGGTTCACTAAATTTGAAACTTTGAACTTGTGATCCTCCTGCCACAGTCTTTAGTCATTACAGGCCTGCAGCTGAGCTGAAACATTATCTTTCAGTTTGATGATATTGATAGACAACCTAGAAATCATGAGATAACCAGACCACCATGGCCAGTGCTATGTGCCATGATTAAGAAAAATGAGGCTGGGTGCAGTGGCACATGCCTGTAATCCCAGCAGCTCAGGAGCCTGAAGCAGGAGGATCCAGAGTTCAAAGAGAGCTCAGCAAAAGGTGCTAAGCTACTCAGTGAGATCCTGTCTCTAAATAAAATACAAAAATAGGGCTGGAGATGTGACTCAGTGGTCAGGTGCTACTTGAGTTCAATCCTCAGTACCAAAAGAGAGAGAGAGAGAGAAGTGAGTTTACCAGACTGATCTCTCTGCCCAGGCACTTCTCATTTTCACATTTTATGCAGTTACCTTTGAAAAGAAGGACCCAAAACCCCCAAAATGCATTTCACCATTGGGCTCCCACACTTCTCCCTTTGAATGTTTATACTGCTTTAATGCTTGCTTTCCTGAATAAATCTCCTCTGTTTGCTAAATCAATCTTTGTGCTTCTCTTGATACACCTTGACATTCCTTTCAATGGTGTAAATCAAAAACCTATAAGAGAGCTGGGAGTGGTGACATATGTCTATAATCCCAGTGACTCAGGACACAGAAGCAGGAAGATCACAAGTTTGAGAATAGCCTCAACAATTTAGGATAGTCCTAAGCAATTTAGCCAGACTCAAAACAATAAATAAAAGGGCTGGACAATCCCAAAAAAACAAAGTCTGAATATTTTCTCTGATATGTGGATGGTGACACACAATACAGGGGCAGGGAAGAATAGAAGTACTTTGTATTAGACAAAGGGGAATAAAGGGGGATGGGAATAGGAAAGACAGAATGAACCAGATGTAACTTTCCTATGTTCATATATGAATACACAACCAGCATAACTTCACATCATGTATAACTACATGGGAAGTTATACTCCATGTATGTATAATATGTCAAAATACATTCTACTGTCATGTATAACTAAAAAGAAAAAGTTAAAAAAAATTATGTGCAAAGAAAAAATAATAAAATAAAAGGGTTGGAGATGTATCTCAGTGGTAAAGTGTCCCTGGGTTCAATCTCTAGTACAGCAAAAAATAAATTAATAAATAAAATAAAAATAAATAAATGCATAAATAAATAAAATGAAATATGATGTAATAGTTGAAGTGGTTTGCTTTCCTAAGGACATAATCAAAACATAAGTAGTGACAAAAGTCACGTAAGTAGAGCCAAAAAAAAAAAAAAACAACTAAAAGCTTAGGTTTAGAAACAGTAAAATACTAGTTTGTCTGTGATTTTCAACTTTAAGCCATTTCCTAGGATTCAGTTCTAAAAGTATTAGAATGGGCCTGGGGTCATACCTCAGTGGTAGAGCTCCTTAGTGTTGGGGAGGTTCTGGGTTCCATCCAGAGGAGTGCAAAAATAATATCATGACATGGTTGTCATGTCCTATCACACACATTACTTTTTTTTAATTTGTTCTTTTTAGATATACATGACAGTAGAGTGTATTTTGACATACATGAAGTATAATTTATTCTCACACATTACTTTGTTTATATTTAGTTATTTTTTTTAGTTGTAGTTGGGCACAATATCTTTATTTTATTTATTAATTTTTTATGTGGTGCTGCGAATAGAACCTAGGGCCTTGCACGTGCTTGGCAAGCAATCAGTAATAATATTGATGATAGTAATAGTAACAAATATTATCAATAAATCCAATTTCTTCAGCTTGGAGTAAAAGTTTAATAGTTGTTTTTTGTTTGTTTGTTTTTGGTACCAAGGATTGAACCCAGGGGCGTTTACCACTAAGCCACATCCCCAGCTCTTTTTATATTTTTATTTAGATATTTAGACACAGGGTCTCACTGAGTTGCTTAGAACTTCACTAAGTTGCTGAGGCCTTAGCCTCCCAAACAGCTGGAATTACAAGCATGTGCCACCATGCCCTACTT